ATGACATTTGACTTTGCTGTAGCTCTAAGGAACAGTTCACCAATAAAGAATGAATCCTCATCTGAATCTATAGAAGCTTCAGCTCTGACTTGTTTTAGCATTTTAGTTTTACACACAGTCTCGAAATGTCCCATTTTGTTACACTTTCTGCATCTTTTATTTCGGGCAGGACAGTTTTCTTTTCTGTCATGCATTCTACCACATCTCTGACAGTTCTGTCTATTCTCGCTGTATTTCTGCGCTTGTTTCTGCCATGGTTTCTCATAGCTCCTCTTTGAGCTGCTAAACTGTTTCTGTCTCACCTCATTCACTGTAGTTTCCACGTGCTCTGCACTTTGCTGTTCACTCTGACGTGCAAGCTGGATGGCTTTCTCCAGAGTCAGGTCCGCTTCTAGTTGAAGTTTTTGAGAAACCTCCTTATCCATTATTCTAATAACGATCCGGTCCCGAATCTGTTCYTCTTTCCCCGCGCCGAACTCGCAGTGCTGCGCGAGCTCATATAAGCTCCGCACGAAAGCTTCAACCGTCTCACCGGCCCTTTGGCTCCTTTTGTGAAAACAGGCGCGGTCATGGATAACATTTCTTTTTGGAACAAAATGTTCGTCAAACTTCTGCATCACTAGGGTGAACTCATACTCTGGATGTGGCATATCCTCCGTTGCAGCGGGAAACACAAAAGAGCCGTAAATTGGTTCGGCGTCTWTCTCCATAGAGTACAGGAGTGAATTTACCTGCACCTCGCCGCTCTCTCTGTCGAGTTTCAACGCGACTCTGAAGCGGGAGAATCTCTGCCGCCAGGTCGGCCACTCCGCCGGCTGGGTAAAATCAAAGGGCTCCGGAGGTCCAAACTTTGCCATTGTGCTCCCTCTGTAGGCGTTTAAGTCCTTATTTCTGACACCATYTCATGATATGAGGGAAGACAGGAGAAGCAATCTTCAGTTGCGAAGGCAGAACTCTTTTATTAAGCTAGAGCACGAGGTAACAACATGAACAGCTTCTTCCAACTTGTTTTTCCAGTATATCCCTCTAGTGCTCCCCCCAGTGGTCGGGAAACCAAACTATCGTTACACTAGATATACAATAGAAACTAGAGGTGTCCCGATACGTATCGGTATCGGGTCCGATACCAGCATCAAGAACTCGTACTCGTAAAAGCCGGCCGATACTTTTAACCGATACCGCTTTTGTCCCCTTTTTTGTTCCTCCTGTGCTGCGCTGCAGCACAAAGGGTAAACAACAATACATACCAGGCTGGGGCGCTAATGCACTGACAAGTTATTTCCGACCGCACCCCTGAATAACAGAAGAACGATGAGAAGAAGAAGAAGTAACATATCGGCAGTTTGGAGATATTTTAAGATCGGCACAGAGGACACAAACAAGCAGACTGTCTGCTGTGCTCTGCTAAATGTCAAGAGGAGGAGCGAAAGTTGGATGTTTTAACAGCAGCAATTTGATTCAACATTTGAGGACAAGACATGACAAAGAATTCAAAAGAGTTTGCTGCTGCTAGCAATAGCCTTCATAAACAGCACAGTTGTTGCAGTACCTTCAATGTTGTTTTTCTTTCTTGTAGAACAAACTAAGACATAAGCAGAATATGGAAGGAAGTTTYTTGTAAAAGCATTTTATTTTTCACTGTGGTTCTTCTGAGATTTCGTTTTAGTTGTTCCATTTAAGTTTGAACTGAAATTTACTGCACTTTATTACTATTAGTCATTTTTTTAACAGTTTAAGACTGAAGCAAAGTAAACATTTATAGATGTGCTGCTAAAATTTACGTTTTACATTTTAATTTAAATTCGGTAGTTGCATGTTGAGGAAAATGTATAAAAATAACTTATTTTGTTTTTTAATGTATGCAACAGCATTTGTTTTGCAGTATTTGTATTGTTAATACATTCAGAGGGAGTGTGGCCTTATAAAAAAGAGCCTGTTTGAAATAAAATAAATGGTTTCAAAAGTTATGGTGTTATATATATACCAACTTATCTACTTGTCAGAGTTTGCACTACCTTTTTATTGTCAAACATATTTACCCATCAATTTTTGCATGARAATTGCATTTCATTTTCATTCTGTTTAATATTCAACAAGTTGAACAGATAATCCACCCTAACCCCGCTACTTGGTATCGGTATCAGTATCAGTATCGGCGAGTACCTAAACTGAAGTACTCGTACTTGTACTCAGTCTTGAAAAAACTGGTATCGGGACACCCCTAATAGAAACTAATCTCACAACACATGTTAATTAGTTTAGTTAAGTAAGATATAACACAGAAAAATCTATACATTGCTGAATCACATTGAGGGAGAAGAGATCTTTCTTCCTCGGTAACTTGATAAACATTGTCTCTTGATTATCAAATCTGTAATAATGCTTAGTTAAGAGAAAATAAATCAAATAAAAAGATGCTTATTCTGTTTAATTAAGTTAAAGAAAATGTCTCTTTGACGGTCAAGATGACCTGTTATGGCCCAAATTCAGATTCAAGTGGAACAGAGTTCTGTCTCTTTAAAAGGCCCATCAGAGGCCTGAGGTCAAAGACAGTTTTCTTCATTATTCCACTTGAGTTGACCCCTACATACCCCCCTTTTTTCAAGTCATCACCCCTCGACGGTGATGAGTTGCAACAAAAACAGGAACACCTCAAAAGGTCTTTGATCTTGGAGTAATACGATTGGTGAAACCGTGTAATCCCAAGAGTATTCCAAACTGAGAACTTTGCATAGCAAGAGTTTTTCTTCAGTTTAAAAAAAATTATCCAAACAATGTCACATTGTGCCGTAATCAAAGCTAAAGGTGGTCCAATGAAATATTTGTGTGTGATTTTTTACTTTTTTGGGCCAGGCAGTGTATTTACTGCACACACACACACACGCACGCACACACACACACATTTGTATTGGTTTTGTTGGTGTCATCGTGTTGTGATCTTCAGCTCTCACTGGAGCGGTTGCAGCTGGGTGTGAAAGGGCTGGGATGAGGATCAGCATATTTGAGTCCATGGCAGAAAAGGGTGGATTGCTCTCTCTGGATTGAGAGTGAGATTCTCCCTCAAGTGGAAGTGTTTAAGTATCTTGTGGTTTTGTTCATTAGTGAGGGAAGATTGGAGGTTGAGACTGATACATTGACACATAGATCAGCGTGGCCTCTGCAGTTTTGTGGTCTCTGTACTGTTCTGTTTACCAGTTGGTCTATTGTTCTACCTTTACTTATGGCCATGAACTTTGGGTAGTGATCTAAAGAACAAGATCATGGATAAAGGCTGTCAAAATTATTTTTATCCACAGGGTAGCTGGACTCTTTTAGAGATAGGGTGAGAAATTCAGTTATCTGGGAATAGCCACTGCTCCTCACCATCAAGAGGAGCCAATTGAGGTGGTTTACCTGGTAAGGATGCTTTCAGCACACCTCCCTAGGGAGGTACTTCAGACATGTCCAACTGGGAGGAGAGCCCGAGGCAGACCCAGAACATGCTGGAGAGACTATGTCTCTCAAATGGCCTGTGAATGTCTTGGAGTCTTCCTAGAAGAGCTGGTAGAGTTGGCTTGGGAAAGAGAAGCCTGAGCTTCCCTGCTCAAGCTGCTGCCCTTGCAACTCGACTGGACAAAGGGAAAGCTAAAGGATGGACGGATATCACAATTTGTAGGCTTCTTCTACTGGGTTGAACAGTTGATTAGTTTGAGCACTGCTGCCTCCAAATGACTGGAGGCTTTAGACTCAAGAGGATAGAACTGTCTGGCCAAGTGGGGTCGGTTGGGGAGTCCAATTATTAAGGGGTGTCCATTTATCGAATTGACACTATATCATATCTGCAGTACAGAAATACAATAAAGAAGCAACTTCACAAGAAAGAGGACTTAAAATGTCATTAATTGAATATGTTACAGTGTTAAAAAGTATTGGCCCGCTTATAGATTTCTTATTTGGGTTATTTTGTATTTTGGTTTGTTCTGTTTTTTTGTCACAAATAAACAAATAATAATATCAAACAAAGAACTTGAGTAAATATTGTCATCCCAAGTGAAATACACATTGCTGCTAACTTGTATTTGTATTTAAATTTTCCTGTTCTATACAGTAGGGTTAAGTCTTTTATAGCTCAGTGTAGATGTACTGTAGAGTCTCTCATTTCTTAATCTATATTGCACAAAATGTATATTTTGTCTGACTGGAAAACTCTGCAAAATAATTCCATTGTACCTGAACCTTGTGTACATACCTGCTCAGCATGTGCAGGTATGCTACCTGMTCAGAGCACTAAAAGAAATATATTTATTTATTTACAGATGTTTTACCAGGCAAATCCGATTGAGATGGCAGATTGCTTTTCCAAGGGCGGGCTGGGCCTGAAGACAACATATTGTACATGTTTTTGGGGGGTGGGGGAAACCAGAGTACCCGTAGAAAGCTCACACAAGCATGAGGTGAACATGCAAACTCCACACAGAAAGATCCCATGTCAGAACCGAGGATCGAACCCAGGACCTTCTTGCTGTGAGGTGTCAGTGCCAACCACTGAGCCATCGTGCTGCCAAATCTTGCACTCATGGCGTCTGTGAGGGCCACAGCTTTCTGAAGGTCACTCAGCAGGTGGCAGAGTTGAAGCAGGACTGAATTCTTCAGCTGATGAGGAGGACTGTGGCGATAGCAGCTCAGCTGGCTAATCTCACAGCCATAACATAAAGCCTTGTAATGAAAAAGGTTTTATCTTCTGTAATAATTAGTTGTATCTCTGCTTGGTTAATAAAATTGGTTCAGGGCAATTTGTTATCACGTCATTTGCTCAGGTGCAAAGCGTAGATGAACAAAAACAAAGATAGTAAGGATGGGATGAAGACCAAAACTGAACGTGTTTCACAAAGCCAGTTTTACGTGACTTATCAGCTCCAAGGACTGATTTTGGAACACTCCTGACATGCAAAACTTCTCTGCCCAAAGATCTCTCTCTCTCTCTCTCTCTCTCTCTCTCTCTCTCTCTCTC